CCAAAAGTTTAATTAAAAAAGTTTTGTTCATTAACACCACCTCCCTTGAAAGTAATGCTAAAAGGTTGGTCATATAATACCAGTTAAGTAGAGATGGAACCAATTTACCTTTTAGTGAAGAGGATCTTATCTAGGAAAATTTCAAATATAAAAGGAGATAAGTGGGATAGGAGCATTACCCATATATCTATGAATTAAATATGTGAGGAGAGGAATCATAATAACAAGAAGAATTTGCAAAGAAATGATGAAACCAAAAGAATGGAAGGAAAAACATAGGAAAAAAGCATAAAGGACGTGAGAACAAAAAATGGTGAGAGAGAGAGAGAGAGAGAGAGGACAGCTATGTCAACACGGTGGAAAGATTACAAGTAGAAGGAAAGTAACAAAGATAGGAAAAGATAACCACGCATAATAATCAGCTGATCCAGCCTTTGACCAGGGTTTATAAGCCGACTTACATTCAATTGACAGACATGACTTATTTCATTTTACATTACTATTTTCTGCTCTTTAGTCTATCAACTTATTTAGTACACTTTCTGCTTATCGTTGTTTTGTATGGCTGAAAGGGAGCACAATGCTTTGAATCAAACTGGAAATCTTGGCTCAGAATTTTTCATTTTGGAAACAATGTTCAAGGAATGCATGGAAATAAGAGGTGAAAATCGTTGAGGCTCATGACTTTCATAACAGAAAGACTGTCATAATCATTTGAACATCAGTTAATAGAGGACATTTCAAAAGTATAAACCCCAGCTAAAAGATCTTAAACACAAATAAAATTAACTACCAATCAGAAAAATAATCAGCCCAACTTAGATATCCAAATGATTGTAAAGGATGATAAGAAGACAACAAATCTATGCCAGATGTATATACATACCTGTAACGTGTAAAAGATGTTAGACTCAACAAGAGAAGCAACCGGAGAAGAAGTACCATCATGGTGCGGCGATCCACCAATCAGAAACTTATGGAAGGAACGAAATGCCACTGCGGTTTCGGTGCTCCATGGAGGCAGCCATTTAAAAGCCGATACACAAACAAGGCCATCTTCAAATAGCTTTACTTCATACACCTTATTATTCACCATTACACCATCGGCACCTCCAGAACTTTTAGAGATTAAACTAGAGCAGTATGCGAGCAAGTCAAGCTTCAAGGCTTTAATAGCGAGAGGATCAAAAATCATAGGATAAAAGCTTGAACTCATATCAAGGATGCTTCTCTTTCTCGTCTCGTCCACACCTACTATCAAACTGAAGAAGCCCAACATCCAGTGAAGTCCCAATAACCTAAAAGCCAAATGGTGTTGGGGTTCTTTGGACAATAACAATACTCGAGAAGCAACCTCAAATTCTTGTCCTCGGAAAGAATTTAAAAACTTGAGATGCATTCCCAAAAAGACGTGGCAAAGCAACGGCTGGAAAGTGTGGGGAAGCCACGAGAATTGTACCCTCATCAAGGAAGCCTGAAGCTCAAGCTCTTGAGCTACAGGAAGTATAGCAACCATAAACTCCACCAAACCAAAGGGAGTTAAGTACTGGGGGCACTCGAACAAAAAGGAGACCACTCTCCTCAGCTCTTTGTAGTGAACCTCTCTCTCCTTCCACACAAAATCCCCACGGGCCAAAGATTGCAAAGGGGCATTGAAAGGGAGCAAAGGAATGGTAGCATTTGTAATAGAGAAGTCGCCATTACTGTTATTGCTTGAAATAGGCTTGAGCTGGACCAAATTGTGAATGGCTGTGGACAATAAGAGAACATACCACTGGGAGACGTGGGTACGCTCGCTTTGACACAAAGACCACAGGTGAGGAGTGATTTCGGAGAGCAGACAAGGGAAAGCGAGCTCCAGCTGACGCAAGCACTCGCACGCGACGCCCCGCGTGTGGCGATCCAGGCCGTGATTGGGACGGTTGATAACAGTCAACAACAGCTCAGCCAAATGAATCAAAGAGGGAGAGCCTCCGGTTTCGTCATTATCCAATAAGAAGGCGATGACGAGGGAGGTGGTGGACACGAGGAACTGGTCCTTGAGAGGGAACGGGTCATTTGGTGACTGAATGACTGAGCGGAGGGCGTCGATGAGGGCGGAGAGAGAAGAGGATGACCACCAACTGCAAGATTGCTCAAGCGAGTGATGCTCCAGGAAAGTTAGGAGATTGAGTTTGAGTTGGAGGGTGAAATCTTTGCGGACCAGTGAGGAGATGCACAGGTCGATTAAGGGGCCGCCGCCAGACCAGCGATGAAGAGCAGCGGCGCCGCCCAGGTTGTAATCGTCAATCAGCGTCTCCCAATCCGTCGGAGAAAGGGGTTTCGTAACTACTGCGGCCATTGTTGTGTATTCTAAAGCCAGAACACGCACCTTTTATTATTCG